ATATATATATATATATATATATATATATACACACACACAAATTCCCTCAGTTTGCATGTGACTTTCAGTTCTGTGATTCACACAATGTAAAACATCTAGCAATTCTGTAGATGAAAAAAAAACAATTATGTAAATTGTGCATAAAATAAGTGTAAATCATGTGCTCACATGCTTTTCTGACATACGGTGCAGATAACAATGAATTATCCATTAATTAATTCATTTATTTAAATAATTATTATACTTATTATACAATTTATTCCAAGTAGCAGCTATTGTGAAATGTCATCAGTATGAACATGGTTTTGAACATACCCTAATACAATTCTCAAGAAAACTTTATATTTAATGGCTTTAAAAATGTTGTGTGTCCATCAATTAAATTTTAACAAATATTTTCCCACAGATTTTAATTCTTGTTTTCAAAAATGTATTACGTGTATTGTTTTACATGTATTGCAAATTAAAAACATTATTTTATTATTGAAAGGATTGGGGTTTTTTTTTTACAAATATTTTGGAATTAATAATTAAGAAATATTGTATTTTTGGGACCAATTGAAAGCACTCACATTGGGCACTCACTTAGGTTTTTCAAGCAAAACATTTTATAAAGAGCAACAAAAACAACAGATATTGCATTCAAAATTAACAAAAAGTTTTTTGACACTTTGTGGTTGTCAAGCGCTAATGTGATGTTTTGTTCATCATGCTTACTCTGCTGGGTTTTTTTGTGTGAACATAAAGGGAACTGACTTCACTTCACACATCCACTAAAATTATTTTGACCCAGGCTGGTTTAGCAAAATAAGGCACAGAATAGAGAACTCAGTTCTAATAAAAGCTCTTGCAAAATTTCTTTGCTAATGCCATTTGCTTTGTCATTTTGTATCTATGCAATGACACTCAGACACGTATATATATTTAATCGTGTTATAAATTTGATTAAATATCCTAGTCCTATGATCTGACCTATTGATTTCTCTTCCTCATATATAGCTACACTTGAACATGAACACATGCTTTTCAGAAAAGAAAATAGATTACTTTGTAGACGTGCTATCAGAAACATTTGACCAATGAAGCGAGTTATAACTGACACAAAATCACCAAAAGATTTTCAAAGCACAACACAAAAACCTTAGGTTTTAAACAAAGTTACACTTTTTACCAACCAAAACAAGCATACAAACTGCTGAACAACTTCGACAGACACTCTAGAGCAGTGGTCACCAACCTTTTTAGGCCCAAGATCCCTGACCTCGGCCTTTATGAAAGACAAGATCTACCTATTGAAGAATTGATAGAAAAAGACATCCCAGATTGTACTTCAAATTTGAGGCCTTTTACTTAGTATTTTAATTAGTGATGCGCCGATCATAGCTGATTCAGAATTCAGATTTTCTTTTCTTTTTTTACTAGCAAATTGGATTCTGATACCGATTTTTAAGCAAATTTATTTATTGACTATTTGCTTTATAACAAACAAACTGGATTTAAACAAAAATATCTAGCCATTTGAAATTAAGAGGCAACCACTGCATTTTAATCACGA